CCATCTAAAGTGCCTCCCTGCTACTAGTTCTCCGTCTTTATCTTTCTCCTGAGGTAGAAACGATATATGACACTATATTATCAGCACCGGGGTCCTGATAGCATAGGTAGAGTGCTAATATGCCAGAATGTGCACCTTCCAGTCCCATCCACCATCCGATGAATAGAAACTTAAAGAACCGTATCCTAAAACAGTCAGCCACAGACTAGCCATATCCAACAAGGAGTCTTTGTGGCTCTAGCTAGGTCTCTTGAAAAATCAGGGTTTTCTTTTATAGTCTCATGAACTATAGGAGTAAGGAAGTGTGCCTGTGTCTTTTATTAGTATGTATGCATGATACTTTATAAGATCAAATATTTACATATATGTGGTTATTACAGGATTGGCCTGTGCTACTTCAGCACCAGAGACATGACTAATAGTTTGTAGTATATCTAGTAAAATTTCAAAATAAAATATAAAATAATTACATTTTGAGAAAACTATATTACAAATCCGATTAAAAAAGACACATGATACTCTCTTAATTTTTCATTAGAACAATTTTAGAGGGTAATTTAGCTTATCGCACCCTTGTATATACTCTAACCTGTCCAATAGTTTTTTAGAACTTCGGTGTGGTCCACAAATTACTTCTTCCATCAAGGTGCTCTGATGATTTGTTACAGGAAAATTAACTCATGCTCTTTAGCATCCCACCAGTTAAATTTTTATCCTTTTAATTTAATTTTTCTAATTTTGACCTTACTATAGTTATAGACTCGAGCCGAATAACCTGTTCTTGTCAAATTTGGAAAAATTAAAAGTGTGAATTATTCTTTTTTAGGATGGTGTTGTATTTTTTGTAGAATTCGGCGTCACCTATTGCTGAATCCATACTGTTCTTAAGAAGATCATTGATTAGCCCTGTGGATGGTTTGAGGATTGTTGTATACTCCCGTTCACTTAAATCAAAAGAGCCGTTGGATGGTGAATAATCATTGATATCCACAAATCCACTGCAGTTCTGGAAATTAATCCAGTAGTTGCCAGGTTTGTTACCAGTTGCTTTAATTAATCTCTTGACCTCCGATTTGGCAATGTCATTGCAAGTCACAAGAATATGTTTTCTCAATTTTCTTTTGATGCCTAAAATTTGTATAACAGATGCTATGCTATCAAGGGCAGTTGCTTTTCTTTTCACTTTTTTGTATGGTGTCTCAATCTCCATGAACCCTGGTTTGTGAGTTACATTGAAATGTTTCTTTTGTGTATTGTGACTGGTAAAGTCTTCATTGTATTCAGTACATTTGCACGTCTTTGCAGGCGGAGGTTGTTTGGATGCAGGTTGTTTTTCTGCTAGCTTGCCTGGTTTTTTGTCCCCCTGGCGTCTCCCTTTTTTGGAGCATCAAGTTCTTTTCTTTTTTGAAGAGCCGGCTGCTGGTATAGGGGTAAGTATTTGTCATTTGAGTTGCTAAAACATATTGAAAAACCTATTTTGAGAAAAGTTCTTGTATCGGAGCAAACTGGTTTGCTAGCCCAGAGTATTTAAAGACTGATCCATAGGAAAAACTTATCTCTATAGATATTGTTGTCATGTTTTGATGGTTTTTGTTAAAGAAAACTCAACTTCTTGTTGACTTTTTTTAAAAGTTTCCTTATAAGGAAATTTTTAAGAAAAGTGGTGTGAACGGGAAAGAGTTTTTTGTTTTATATTAGTTAAATATATATATTTAAAAATCAAGTCCAATATAAATATGTATTTTTATATTTAAATTAGTTAAAATATATTAAAATATTTTTTTAATCTTAATAAGGTTAAGTTTTATTATTATTTTTAATAGAATAATATATTTTACTTTTTTAAAATCATTAATAATTTTTTAAAATTTTTATTAAAAAAAAAAAGTTAAATATCAAGATTTTGTCAAAATAAACTATAATAATAAACTGCAATCAATAAATTATTTTTTTTTTCAAAAGAAAAATAAGAAAAACAATTGTACTCATCTTCAAATGCATATTTCAAGATTAAATATCCGAGATAGATACTCAAGTATAAAATATAGCTTATATACAGTATAAAAGTTCTTGTATTAATATGTTTCTATTTAAGATTAAATAAATAAAAGAGTATAAAGCTTGAAAATATTTGTTGAATAATTAAAAAAAATTTTATTATATAAATAAATAACTTATTACGAATATAAAAATAATTTAATTAGAATTTATTATTTATTATTAATAATTACAACTAATTTATGATTTTTTACAAAAATTTATTTATAAAAATCACCATGTTTTATATAGAAACTATATACTTTAGAAAATTTAAGTTCGTCATATCAGAATTTGGTATAACCAGATTTGGCTGTAATTATTAATTTAACGGTAATTTTTATTGTTAGATAATTTAAATTTTAATTCTATCATGAAATACATATTAAGAAATACAATAGAAAATTTGAAATAATGAGTCGTCGTACTAAATTTGAATTTGAATTCCCACAAAATTAAATATAAAGTATGATGCATAAAAATTTATTACAAGTCAAGCAGCTACTAATTGCTTGTTAAGTTTAGCTTTTTTCTGTTGACTCGGTATTGGTGGATATTCTTCATTATCTACAACTGATGAAATATTAATACGCATGACAAAAAACGGAACAATATCTGATAGATAAAATTCAAACTATTTACCATCTTTGATTTCCTGGTTTACACTTATTTGTGTTTTTGGAACTGAAGGAAGCAATTCTTCGAGCTATATTTGATATAATATATTTGATTAATAACAAAAATTTTGATACTAATAAATAAATAAGTTGATTAAACAGCATGCCTGTTCTCTTTCTATTTCTTCTAATTCTTTCAAAATTACTTCTTCGTCTTCGTCCGTTATCTTTCCGCTTAACAATTCTTCGATTTCCTATTTGTATGCCAAGACATATATGTTAATATTTCAGATCATATATGCACATCATAAACTCATGATTTACATTTTGATAGGAGATGGCGTCCGCAGTATCTTCCATCAACTTTTCTACTTTTTCAATAGACATTTCTTTGTGAATTTCCTTTAGAACGTCATTTCCAGCCTTTAATCCATCTAATACATCCTTTTCTACTAATGCGAATTCTATTGATTGAGTCTTTTATTCGAGATCATAATTATTTAGATAGAAATATATGGTTAAAATTATGATTAGATTTTTATTAATGCAAATATTTCTGACCAGTTCTTCCAAGTTCATTAGTTGCATTTCGGTTTTTTCCAAAAGCTGTTGTTGGTATTTTTTTTTTTTTAATGCTAAAAGGGCTCCACGTTTATTATTTTTGCGTAACGCTTCTTTTGCAATCTCAGTTTCCTTGTCTGAAACGACTTGTAACTTGATTTTTGAAATAAAAAGATTGTATAAGTTATTTAGTATACAAATACTCGAAATCAGACTACATACCTTTTTTTTATATTGCTTTAGTTTATCTCTTTGAAGTTTCAAATCGAGAATAGCACGATCCTGTGAAGTTATCTTACTGGTCTTTTGACCCATATTTGCGTTTAGGGATTCGTAAAGAAAAATGCTTAGGTAAAGTCCGTAATGGAATGATCTATTTGGTGACACACATCAAGATCTAATACTGTAGTTTTTATATCTTTATATACGAACTTTTTGAAGATAGTAAGTCAGTAAAAGATAATATACACAAATATTTTATTTTTTATTTTAAAAACTACAGTTCTGATAATATATATTTTTAATAAAATTTTATATGTATATTTAAAAATATAAAGAATATGTTTACTTAAAATTTTTTTAAAAACTTATTTTTTAAATAAATTATAAAAAATATATATGTAATAAAGATTTTTTTCAATTATTTTAATATACAGTATAAATTTGTTAAATAAAGATTTATAAAATTATAAAAAAAAAAATTTTTTTATAATAAAGTTAAGCTTTTTGATATCTTGAAATTTTTTTCAAATAATTTTTACAAAATAAAAAATTATATAAATTTAATAGATTTATTTATACACAATAATAATAATAAAAATAAAAAATATTTTATAATTTTTTTATAAGTCAAAAAAATTTTAATTTTTATAAGCCAAAAAATTTATTATAATAAAAATTAAAATCTTTAAATTAATATTTTACAATAAATTATTAATTAATTATTAATAAAATTTTAATATATTTATTTATGAATTTTAATATATATTTAAAATAATATTTGATAAAAAAAAAAAAAAAAAAAAAAAAAAAAAAAAAAAAAAAAAAAAAAAAAATTGATCGTCATAATGTAATATATAATTAAGCCATATTTTTTTGATTTTCCGAAATTCATTTATTTACTCAACGTCTATTCCGTCTATATTTTTTACTATTTTTTCAACAAAACTTTTTTGAATTTACCTATCAAACAAC